AGATTGATTGTTTAATTAACAAATAAAAGAGTGAATGACAATATTGAGAGATTATTGTACCGTAAAAAGGTATCTGATTTCTGTGTTTGAGATATTATCATTGGAAAATCTGCAAGCGAGATAACTCGTATATCGTTTGATTTCGCAGGTATGCGAATTATGCGAGTACCAGAGTAAATGTTATGTTGTATACATTTGAAGATTTCTAAATACAATCTATACACAAAATGTTTTCATATATGTGCAAAGTGTACATACATCCATTATAGCTAATGAAAATTGAAAGTATTTATAGGAAATAGAAAAACTATTAATTACGATAATTGTTATTTGTTATATACATACATTTTACTGGTGTTTAATTATTTCATGTAGAATCCTTAAGATATTTTCTTTTGCATGAATGTGTAATTTGTTTTTTCGACAATGTTGAATGATACACATCTTTTTTTCGTGTTTTTTAAATTAACAAGCTAGTGAGATATATATAAAAAATCTATATTTCATCTTCCGAATTTAAATTTTTAGTCATTGCGGGTAAAATCCGATTTCTATATCGTTGACCTAAATTATCCATATACGTAATATAATTATGACAGCGATACTCGTCCAATACCTGTATAAAAATGCATTTAGCAAATTATCTAATTATCTAATTATCTATATTAAAAGAAAATAACTCTAATACATTTCATGTATATACCATGCATTCCGGCCACATTTTTCGGTTCGTTAAATCCTGCAATAGCTCTTCCTGACAGAATTGCAAGAGTGATACAGAATAATACACCATATAATCGGATGGGTACAAAATGCATATTGCAAAAAAATGAACGATTTCGCTCCATGGAAGGATTCCCCAGAAGCATTGCGACAATATTCTATTGAATATCATCCACCAATTGACACCGAAGACATCCTTTTCGTTTGAAAATCAAAACATATTTTTAGGTAACCAAATTTTCTTAATTACAAAATTTACCTTTAATCCATATTTAATATTTGGAAGCTCGATGTTAACCATAGTTTCTAAAACTTGCATAAAAGTAAACTGCGAACTAGTGCCTTCGTTATTTTTTTCATCGATAACTTTACCCAATTTCGGCCAAAGAAGCAATGTTGATGGAAATTGAATTATTTGCATAATAAAAGTCTTGCATCTATAATCAATTGCTAATTAGCATATTTGATAATATGTTGATATAATAGCATCTGGTCAATGATGAAAAGAAAATATTGAGACGGGTTGATGATAATAAAGAAACATTGACTCGATGAGAACTAAGTTTTCAATCTGAGACCTGCCAATGATGATATATGATTTGCTTGAGTTAATCACTATTGATTGCTTTGAAATGCTTGTTCGATCAATTTTTTGTGATTAAAATCTCGCAAAAAAATGATTGAACAAGAACTATATATGCCACTATACGTAATCAACCGGAAATTAAACAAAGCTGTCAAAGAATTAATTCGCGGTCAGCTGAGGCTCCAATTTTTTATATTAATTTACTTTCTCCAATAATAAATTAAATATTTAAAAATAATATATATATCGAGTTACTTATCCACATCTCCATCACAGATAATGAACACTGTTGCCAAGAACCAATCAAAACCTTCGAATCTGTTTGGTTTATTGTACTGTATAAATATGTAGGCAGAATGAATGAATTGTTTCAAATTCTTCTGACTGTCATTATTGTTCTTTAAAATCTCTCGTTGTTCAGCATAATTCAAAACAATGTTAATAGCATGTATATCTTCTGGAAGCCAATAATCTGTATCGTATGTTATATTCTCCTGCCATTCAAACTGCTCTACCCATTCCGCAGTTGGAATAGCTTTGTGCATTTGATTTAACAAATTCGTCATCATGGAATTCTAAAATAAAAATTATTTTTCTAATTTCTGTTATTAAATAGTAATATTAAATTTATCTTTGTAAAATTACCTTAATTGGATAAAATTACCTTAATTGGATATCGCGAAGCTTTATGAACCGCTCTAACTTGTGAAACCCAACTAATATCTAGCAATCCGGGCCTTTCCTCCTGCAGCATATCGTTCAGCTTTGAATCGCATTCCATTTCTCGGTAATCCATCATATCTGCATATATTCTGGGAGGTGGAAACTCCGAAAAAAGCTCATATTCCTCAAATGATATCACATATTGTTTTTTTTTATATGTCATGTAATATGATTTTAATAAAATATCATTTCGTATGAAACTGCATTCATCAATTATGTATTCCTTTCGCAGTTCTGTCTTATCACCATCATCAATATCATCCTCTGTCTTATAATAAGTGTCATCGTCGCTTTGTTCTTTGCGAACTTCAAGGAAAATTGTGCTACTTTTCTGAATATCTAATAGCGCTTCCTAAAAAATTGTATTATTATATACAAATATACTAGCTGCAAATATACTGTTGTTTCATCGCATATAATGTATTACCTGGAAATTTAACAAATTTAATAAATAAACACAAACGTCTAAATTCCAAATTATAGTATTCAACGATAGAAGAGCTAAATAATGATAAATTGAATCCTCATCTATTGCAGCCTGCAGTAATTCAAACAAATTCGAAGGATAATCCTTTTCCTTATCATTATTCGATTCGCTATCATTGACCATAAACGCGGCAAAACCTGTTAATGGATGTATATATCCATTATATGTTAAGAATATGTAAAATAAAAAATATAAATAGTTAAGTTTCGTACAATTAAAATTAAGGGAAAATAATGTGAGAATATGTAGAAATTCGTCAACATTTTCTCTATCCCAAGGATCATAAAAAAATCTGGGATCCTTTGCGTTCGTGCAGGTTTGCGACAATAAAGTTGATAGAACATGAGATCCGAGATTTGCGAGCACATTGTAGCCCAGATCAAAATAACCAACCGATGAAATGAAGCTGACTATGTCAGTAGAACTCCAGATTACTCTTAAAGGAGCGATTAATCCGCGAATCAGTTCTTCGAATATTAACTTCTCATTGACGAGCGCTTGCAATCCGAGTGGTATTGATACCATTTTTAATAAAACTTTTTTAACAGCACTGTAATATAATTTTAGAGATTATATATATGATTGCAAGCAGATTTTCAGAAATAAAATCTATTTTCCTATAAATCTACCTATCAAGTTGTTGAATTTTATTTTCGTTTTCAACACTGCATTTGTTTATTCTTTTGTAAAAATTAGTAACGGCTGGATAGAACTGCATCTCAATCTGTTCTTGCGCGGCCTCGTAAACATCATAAATATCGAATAATTTTTCTATTAGATTAAACGAACTTAGGATACATTTTATATCCATTATAGAAAACGGTTGTTTCAATAAATTCGATATACATTGCATTACGATTGCAACTGGGCACTTTGATGAGATATTTTCAAAATTTGTTGAATGCTCTTTACAATTTGTAGTCAAAAATGCCGGCCCATCTACCGTATCTATCATGTGAGAAATAATGTTTAACGTATGTGGCCAAATCTTTATATTATTTTCAGAAAGAGATGCCAAGCGACATAATGTGGCATGGTAAAAGTCAATGTTGTATAGTACATTCGAAACATCGAGCATATTTTGAAGAGCGTTACAGGAAGCATTATACACTCCACTCGGAGCGTCTGCTGCTAACTTATTTAAAGAGTTCAATAATTCTATTAAGAAATCAGCCACTTCAAATGGCGTTTTTAATGAACTCTCCGCGAGCAACTTTCTACCCGCTTCATAGCTGCAGAGCTGTGAGACAAAGGTCAAACAATGCAGATAAGTTGCAGTTTCTATCGTATTACCAGGAATACATAGCTCATTGTTTTCATCCATAATAGAGATGGACAAAGAACAAGGTGTTTCTGCCACACCGTTCTTAACGCATTCAATAACATTTTGCAGAAACGTCGGAGACTTTGCTAGAATAACGATGAAAGTTTTCCTGGTAGAGAGACTATGAAGCCACCTTTTGCTCCATTTGGCTTGTGGCTCTAATACCGAGATAATATTTAGCATGTTTAAAGTTTTAGGTTGCAACGAGTTGCCAAAGCTGTGTGTACTGAGAAATACTATAAATTGCTCTATAACTTCTTCTACAGTCTTGTCGCTGAGCCTAGTGTTTTTCAACATTTCTTCTTGATAGCGAACTATCAGATGCATTATGTAAAACAGTTTCTCATGCAGGAAAAACTTGAAATTAATTCCAGAGATTAAAGTAGGCAGAGTCTCGCGCAATTTCTGCGAATGATATTGCGCATTGAATGCGTTTAATAAATTGTTGTAAGTATGGTTTAATTGTGAACAATTCAGCAACCTTGCATGTACCTGCATGCTGGCATCGAATATAGCTCTGTTATCATCTGTGAGACCATCCAGCAATGTCTTTTGGAAAACATCCCACTGAGAACTATTATTTATGTTGGATAATTCGATCTTTAATAAAATTTCATAACCAGCCAGTCTCACGTGGACTGGCTTGTCACGACTAATTTTGTCAATAATGCAGTTATATTCTTCTGCATTTCTTTGCGGAGAAGTCCAGTCGTCTGCTGCGAGATCGCTGGCGAAGGAATGTGATGATTGCGATTGCGATTGTGATGTCGCGGATGAAGGCTTTACCACTATGTATTGCTCGGTAATTACCTTCTTCATAGAATTCAACAAAGCAATCATATCCTTCGAATGTGAGAGCTTGTAAGCGATATCGCTAGGCACCTGCTCCTTATCTATAGCGCTTTGTATAATTTTTCCGAACTTCTTTTTCAAGCATTTTTTTAGCCATTTGTGAAGATCCGGTGGTACACCTTTATCCATACTTTTTTACTTAAATTAATATTATATGAGTACAACTAATTAAAAAGTGTGCAACAAAAGGCACATGTCTACAACAAGCTTTAGTGTCTACAACTTTGACATTCGTTGTCATAGCAACTGGAGGTGTACACACGAATCATATATGACATATCATTTGTGAATAATCGAGTGACGCGATACAATGAAATTTTTTATAACAAAATTGTTATACAAGATCGTTATACAGATTTATAGATATATATCAATTGTACTGTGTAGAGTAGTGCTAGGATTTAGTTGCACATTTCGGCTGATTTTTAGCTTGGTTCCTGCCCCCTTATTTCACCAATCTGTGCACAGCCAATGCACAGCCTAAATGCCAATCGGTCTTAGATAACAAGTTGAAAATCGGCTGAAATGTGCAATTAAACCTCAGCACTGGTATAGATTTGAGTATTATATGTATAACGCCATTATGTAATTCAGTTAACGTGCAGGTACTATAATATTCGGAGACTTGGAGCGTAACGCGTTCATTCCGCCTTGCAAAGAACAGACTCCTATGACACTGCATTTTACCAGAAATTCTGCAAACTATTAGAAAATATATTACAATTAAATATCTCTTCACAATTTTCTTTTATATATGATTTACTTGCCAGTGCATTGTTTTGATTATGCGGTCCAATAATCACAACGACACTGCTTTTATTATCTGTTAACGGTTTTGCATGTGGCCCGAGTGTGTCAATATGAGTTTGAGATAATTGCACACTTGTAAATGGAATGTTAATACTACCGAGAACAGCACCCCTCTCGAATCTGTTAAAAACAGATTAGTTTAGGAAATAAATCCTTTGAACAAAATTTTGTTATTACAATTTGAAAATAAATACTTACTGTATATTACTACGTACATCAACCACTATGACTTTATTTGGTGAATTGTTGTAAAGATTTAAAAAGTCTTCCACACTTATTCTTGGCATCTTTTCGGTTCCTGCTTCGGGTTCAATCCAGTTTGCATCCTACAAATTAATTAGAATTTTATAATGTGCAGATAATCAATTACAACAATACTGTACCTTTGCTGTGTTGTACTGGTGTTTTCTGTATGTAATACTAGCAGGTGTGTTTTGATACATTGTCATGGAATCTTTAACGCATAATTCTATGTCAATTTCGGGTAAATCAGAGAACAGGAGAATACACTCATTGAAACCTGACATTAATAAGGAATCTCGCAGTTGTTTCAATATCGCTAATCCAACTAAGAGAGGAAACGACGAGTCTCCCAGCAATAGTTTATCCCATAGATGCAATATTTTATGCAATGGAAATACGTCTAAAATATTAATCATTTTTCAATTTTTATATCAACAATTAATAATATGTATTGAAAAAATATTAATAGCAAAATTTACGTGAAAACATCGTTAGGAACCATGGTATGGCAAAAAGTTCCGGTACAAAATTTATAGACTTCAGATGATTCGCTAATTGGGGATCATGGAATGCAATAATTTGGGAAAATTTGCCCAGATATTCCTGTATCACTGCTGAATTATCTTTTAGAAAGAATTTATGGAGATATTTCGGTATGAAAGTTGATAGACACGCAAAAGCTCGAGCTAAAAGCAATTGTGCAAAACATTAACTTGTAACAGGAAAACATATTTTTTATAATTAAAGGAATATATAGATCCTATTAAAGTTTTTTGTTATTACAAATATAGTTTTAAAAGCTTAAAAAATTTTCAACTATAAAAAATTGTAACAAAACAAAATCACGAAAAATAAGATGTGAAATATAAAATTATTTCAAATCATTACACTATTTAAAAATTAGAAAAATATCTTAGAGTCATTAGGATTTTATGTTCCAGTTACAGATAAAGAAACAAAAATATGCATTGAATAATGATACCTTCATTATTAAAATTTAGATAAAGAAACGGAGCTGTAAGCGAATCGAGGCCTTGCCAATAGACATAATGTGGATTATTCCTGACCCACGCCTTTAGCAATCTTTGCAATCGTTCATGTCCAGCACCAGATGACAGTAATTCACTATATTGATGGCATCTCGGTATGTCTACTTCTATCTGAAATTATTATATATCTATCTGAAATCAAATTATTAGCAAAATTTATACGTTGAGTACCATATTATAATATGCAATTATATACCTGCCGATCAGTATGAGTGGGCGTTTCCTTATCAATCATGTCATAACGCTTTTGTATATCGCCAGTGACACCAAGTAAAGCCGCCCATACGGCACCTCTAACTGGAGGCGGTATATCTTTATGTGCTTCCTCGATAATTGCTTCCTGAGTGAGCGGATAAGCTTGTAAAAGTCTGTCGAATAGGACAAGCCTATAAAACTGATATTCTGTATCACGCTCCCTTATGATTAATGGCAACTGAGATGCGGCATTCGTCAAATCTTCTTGTGCCTGAACTCGCATTCTGTAATGTAAAATTTTTATAACAGTTCGTAATATTAAGATAGATATAGGATGAGAGATAAAAATGAACTGACTGGTTTGTTAACCAAGGATAGTTTGCTATGTATGGGATATGAGCTAAACGCTGGCGAAGAGTCTCCATAGGAACTTTTACGACCCTTACATCGAGTAGACTAGCAGTATCTCTCTGACCAAACATTTGACCAAGTAATATGACTAAGCTGAAATAAAAATTTCAAATATTTGATATAATCGCACTGAACAATATAATTATATGAATGATTATTTTATATATTTGAAAAATTTATATATTATATTAGAAAATTACTTTGGAATAGATAAGATAGGTGGTCTTGATCTAATGAGACTCTGCTTTTTTAGATCTACAGTAATATCTCCACCGGCCAATTGCCATAGATAATACAACTCATCCATTTTTCTAACAATAACATTCTTATAGAGATTTTCTTCCTTTTCTTGTGTATTTCTTATTAAATGTTCCGCAAATATTGGCAACTCCAGTAAATCCTCTGGAGTTTTACGCTTAGTAGGATGAATTTGCAGACACGAATCTACAAATTCCTTTAGCTCTCTTGGTAATTTCTATATGATACAAAAATGTTACAATATATATAACATTATAATGTAAAGATTATAATATTATACATAATAGATAAATCCATACTTCATAAATATGGAAACAATTGTTTTCTCTGGCAAGACGTTCAAATATGCTAGTGTCACACAATATTAAGCTCAGAACTCTCCTCAAACATTGGGATAATTTTATACCAGGCCAGATAGGTTGTCCTAATAATTGCTCCGCTATAATCATTCCCAGAGACCAAGAGTCTATTTTAACACCACTCGGACTAGGATTTAGAAATACCTCTGGTGCTGTGTATTTTGGAGAACTGAGAAAAGAAAATTTATTTATAAT